GAAGGTGAAGGGTATAAATGCTGTAGTCAGGGTGCCTGGTTTGAATCTCATCTCTGCTGTTTATGAGCCAAAGGGCCTTAGACAAATTTTTAATTCATTTCACTTTAGTCTCATCTATAAATGGAAATTGAAAAGCATTTATCCCATGGAGTTATTTTGAGGAGCACATAAGGAAATATATTTTAAACTACTTAGTGAGTTGAAAACATTAGGAATGAAGATTAGCTATATTATTATTTGGCACATCTCATTTAGATTTAAGAACTAATAGCTACTTTCATGTTCCTTTCCACATATAGTTATAAGTCTAAATGAAATCACAAATGGAAGAAATTGTTAATAAATCCACTAATTTAATTGATTAATCAGTCATCTATACCATCACTTAATTTTCAAGTTGTGTTAAAATTTTAAATGTGTTAGAATCCTTTTTTATTTAATCAACAAAAAAAATAGTTTACTATTCAATGAGCTCTAAAACTTTCTTGGTTTTTGTATTCTTCTACTTCTTTAATTATATAGTAAAAGAAAAACAAGAGAAATTTCTTTTTGAGTTCTTAAACCATCTCAAGAACGGATTAACCCTCAGGAAAAAGACCACCTCTCCCCTAATCTGTAACAAAGGCTATTTAAATGAAAAGGAGTGACATCACATTCAATATATACTTCTTTCTTTTGGTCATCTTCTTTTTTGGGGGGGGTGTACTAGGGTTTGAACTCAGGGTCTACACCTTGAACCACTCTACCAGCCCTTTTTTATGATGAGTTTTTTTGAGATAGGGTCTCACAAACTATTTGCTTGGGCTTGCTTCGAACCTTGATTCTCCTGATCTCTGCCTCCTGAGTAGCTAGGACAGGTGTGAGCCACAGGTGCCCTGGGTCCTTCTTTTCTTTATTTTGTCTCTAACTGGATTAAAAGCTTTCTGCGGACTTCAGGACTGCTGAAGAATATCTTGCATCTCTCTACAAGGATGCCACTGCAGTCATAATCAATAAATCATTGCTGAATTAACAAATAGTTGCCGAGAGATTTGTCAAAATAGCATAGTGAGCTGTTGATTATGGGTAGAAATATAAAACTCAGTGTTCCATAATGATTATGGGGAAATGTAGTACTCAAAATTTCGCCTGAATATTTATGCTTTATTCTTTTCTACAAGACATTATTTAACTTACTATATGTTTAAAAACTTATAAGTGGCATAAGTTCTTTATTCAAGTAGAACTTGCTAAAAAAAAAGTCTTCATATGACTGACTTGCGGCTAACTTTAGAATAAATATATTTTTCAGAAATTACTATCCATGTTTATAACTTCGTATTTTGAATATTAAACTTAACAATATTCCTTTCCTATAATTTGGTGAACATGTTCCTATCATTTATAATGCATTAATTTCTTTTTTTTAATGTTGAGATTGAACCCAAAACCTCCAGCATACTAAACATCCTCTCTACAAATGAACTATAGCCCAGCCCAAGTATTAAAAGCAACCCAAATATTATTGGTTATTGTTAAGTATTAATAAATGACTTCAAACATTTTGTGTTATATAAAAATGAATTCACTAAATGATCAGGTTTTTCATTTGAAAAACAGTAATTGTATGATAAGCCAGTGGCAGTGGCAGGACACACTAATTAAGGGATACAAAGTTTGTAAGTCCTCATCTGATGCTAAATGCTGGCTGTCTGGATAGGCTGAAGGCTTGATCTGTCTGAGGGTTCAATGGAGTTAGTTCAGGGTTTGTGCATACACAGTCCCAACACAAGATTTCCTAAGTTTTCTCCCAAGTTTTAAAGTAAAACAATTATTTTGGCATCTTGTCTAACAGTGCTTATACATTTGTTATATACCAATTAAAAACCACTTGTCACAAAACCACCATGAGTTCAGTATTAATTTAAAATTAATACATTTTACTAATCACAATAGAATGAGTACATTTTAAAAATAGTATTAGATAGGCATATTTAATCTGTAGATTTTATTTAGGTTTACTAATCCCTTAGAAAAAAACACAAAATTACAGTTAAATTAGGAATTACTGATTTGGCTCATGTTTTTAAGTCATTTCTTTCTTATTGTCTTTTTCTTCTTTGTTTTTGGTAGTACTGAGTTCAAACTCAGGGCTTTGCACTTGCTTGGCAGGCTCTCATCACTTGAGCCACTCCTCCTTCAGCCCTTAAAGTCATTTCTTATTGCAGAATTTTATATGACCTGATTATTTTCTTCCCAAACTATTCTAACTTCAAATATGTTTGTGCCTTTAAGAGGAAATGATTGTACTTTATACTATGTATTCATCTATTTAAATGAACGATTAATGAAAATTGTTACCAATTATTTTTTTTTAAAAGAGAATACTATTTTGAGGAGGCATGGCAAATCTTCCCTGATGTGTCATGGTAGAGTCATTCACGAAAAGTAATAGCTAGAAAATTGAGTAAACACAGAACCAATAAAGAAAAGATTTCTTCATCCCGTGTTAAAAGTCAGCCTGTTGAAGAGCACATTGCTGTGGAAAATTTTGAGACAAGTGTGAGGAGGCTTCCATTATGATGATATCCCATGCATCATTTTGATGCAGGCATCAAAATGAAAAATTCCTCCCCACATATCCATGCCACAGAGTTGACTATTGTCAACTGTTGTTAACATGACCCCATTCTCCCCATCACATTCCCACCCTATCCTTCTTTTGAACATAAGCACTACATTATTTGATGAAATCAGGACTAATGAATACTTCCTCCTGTTGCTCCTGATGGTGTCACTGTGTAGAATAAAGAAATGATCCCAGTTGACACCCCATTCTTTTGAATTCTGCTTTACTCCTAAGACACTTGAGCTATTTTTTTCTAGATCCCATTTGTAGGACAAAAGCCATTTTGTAACCAACAATCATTTTTTTTCTAATTCTAATTCACCAAAGTTGTGATTTCTATCAATGTTCCATAAAAAAAAAAACATTGGTAATATCATCTTTCTTGACTCCATCTGATCTTATACAAACGAGCAGTTAGGTAAGAAATCACTTATGTGGAGTTTCTTTGACAAATTCAGAAGCCAGACTTAACAAAAACCAGCTTATCTCTGTTCTGTTGAATTGGTTTATTTAACTCATAAATATTACCAAGCACCCCCGTCGTAAACATCAGTGTTTACAGAGAGCAGTAGGTGCTAACTCTTGGTTCTAAGCAGTTTCATTTTCTTCTGTAAGGGAAATACCATTACCCCTAGTTTACATATGAGCAAATTGAGAGATTAAATACATTTTTGAAGGATTCATTCACATTTTAAATCTTAACCACTAAAAGGATGATGAAGTATTCGTTCCCCAAAAGAGAGTTTCTGGGCAGACATTAAAAGACCTTGGAACCATGTATAGTGGTACACATCTGTAATCCCAGCCATTTAAGATATGGGGGCAGGAGGATCACAGGTTTGAGGTCAACGTAAAAAAAAGGTAGCGTGATCCTGTCTTAAAAACAAACCAAGAAAACAAAAACAAAACAAAAAAACGGTGGAGGTATAGCTCAAGTGGCACTTGCTCAAGCCGTGGGTTCAAACCCCAGTACTGACAAAACAAAGGGAGGCAGAAACCTACTACTTCTTCATCTAAGTACAACTAATAAGGATAATAAAAATAATTAAATTGAAAATAAAAAGAAGAGTTAACAACCTCCATCAGATTCCATTTTTCCATTAATCACTATTCTTAAGGTCACCAGAGGAATATAATAAAATATAACAAATCTGAATATAGGATTTAAAAACAATAAAAGTTAAACTATACAAAGTACCAGATCTAGAACTCTTTAAATGTAGGGAGAAGTTAAATCATAAAGGCTATAGGAGATCAGATGAAAGGAGATCCCTTGTAGGGCTTGAGAAATGCAGGCCTTTGAGGAGAACCCAGAGAATTTGTCTAGATTTCACCAGTTCCCACAGAAGGCAACCATTCCTCCATCAGCAAAGGCCAGAACATGGGAATAAGCAGATGAGGCACAGTGAGATTTTCAGCAATTTGACTGGCAAACTATTGAGAGCTGAGGTCAGAGAACTGATTAGGCTCACATTTGTGCCAGGCCTTGTCCAAAACGCAATGGAAAAATCATTGAAAGATTTTGTACAGGGGAGTGACAGGATTAAGGTATTATTTGGGGGGAAGTTAGGTCAAAAATGAGCAGGCTGATAGAAAATAGGACAGAAAAAAAAAAAAGAACTTAGAGTTTTTCTTCATTATCACTGGACTTTGAGGTGATAGACACCTGAATTAAGTTGGAAGCCGAGGGGCAAATGGCATTTTTGTGCAGTGGCTCATTTAAATAGGAGAGCGCTTGAACCACTGTCAAAATTCAAGTATGTTCCCAAACAGAACAGAATTTTTCTGGCTGAAGTTAATAAAGGAAACACACACACACACATACAGCTCTTCAAGAGTATGTACCGGAAACACCATCCCTGGCTGGAAGACTGTGATTCAAGTTATGTCTGTCACCCACAGCAACTAAAGCCACCTCCTACCCGGCAGCTGACCCCACGAAGCAAACTAACCCATCTGGTCTGTGCTTCCCACCTCCTTCTGCTTGAGTCCCAGGCCAGCGAGGACGGAAAAGTTTGGGGAGTAGTCCCCAGCTAATCAGAAAGACATTTTTTCATTCCTCAACCACTACTCTCAAGTGCTCTAGAGAGGGAGGATGACATCCGGACAATCCACTGGCCACCACTCCTCCCCCGGGGGCCGGGATTATGAAACTCTGGACACTTTGTACCTCACCCCGCTAGTAAGTCCTCCCGTCCAGAAGCGCCTCCCTGGACTTATAAAGGTCGCAGCGCTGGGACAGTGGAGCTCACTTGCCTGGCAGGTTCGGTGTCAGAGAGACACGGTACACGCGTGGCCCCCAGGCCCTCCTCCCGCTGCAGTCACAGCCCCGTCACTTCGGCCGGAGCTCGCGGCAGGGAGCAGAATGCACGCACCCGGGCTCGCGGCAGGGAGCAGAATGGAGACGCGTCCCCAGGCTCGGGTCCAGGCGCTGCTGCTCTGCCTGGGTAAGCAAACGCTCCCGCCCCCACTCACCGCCCCCAAGAGCAGGTTAAGTCCGGGGACGCGTACCGAGTCGTCCACGCGCTTCAAGTGTTCTCCATATAGGACCACGTCTCTTGTGCTGTGAGTCGGTCTGGAGAGGGAACTCTCGCAGGACTGGAGATGGAGAGGGATCGGAGTTAAAAATGCCTTTTATTAATTAATGATCGCCATACATGTGGTGCCTAAATTAACCTATCTTCTTTATTAGGCGAAGGAAAAAAGTTGAAGAGCTTTTCCTTCTTTTTTTTCCCCGCTTGCAAATTTGCCATTCCTAGAAATCCAAAGGCCTGGAAAGCGCTGTGGCTGACGTTTCGTGATTAGCTCTTTCTTGTCGGAGAGTGGGGGTAGAGACTAGACTTGCGTGCAAGAGACCTTTTGAAAAGAAATGCTTTTCCCCCTCGGCTTGTCCCCAGTGCTCTAAAATTTAGCCCTGGTTACTTTCCTGGGGTCTCTGGTGGTGTGCCAATGTCAGCCGTTCTCTGATACCTGGAGCCACACAGGGACTTGGGCAGGTCCTGGCGTTCCCACCGCCCTTTGCCCTTCGCTTGCTGCTCCGGGCTTCCCCAGCCGCCGCCTCCAGAGGCCAGTCAGATCTTTGCACTTGGGGTCACTGTGCCCAGCAGCCTGTAGGCTACTGAGACTATTTTATTGACCGTTTTCCTGTTTGAAATGATCTCGTTTTTAGAGCAGGGAGGAAAAATTCCTATGTAGCCTTTCTGTTTTTTTTCTTTTAAACCAGTTTTTCCTAATTCCTTCAATGTCAAGAATTTGGAGTTAAATATGACCTCTTCTGATACATGAATGTTTTAATAAGGAAATAAAAGTTATCTGTCTCTCATTCTTCCTGAAATTACAAAGAGGCAAATTTTCTTAATACACTAACACTACCTTTGCAGGATGTGGCAGTTAAATTATTATTTTGACATGCTTTGTCGCAGGGGGTTGGGACACCTAATGAAACACATATTATACGTATTTGGAGTTTCCACGTCTAAGTTCAGGAACCTAAGTAGAAACCAGATCTGTAGTTTCTGCCAAAACCAAGCTACAGATGACCTGCTAGAGATTCCAGATACATGAAATGGTTATGCTGTCTCTGCTCTGAGGTCTTTGTGAAAAGAATAAAATTGGAAGGTGACAGTCTTTCTACAGTAAGAAATTAACTAAAATGGTGTAGAATTGGGATTTTTTTGTTTGTTTGTTTGTTTGTTTCCCACTTATAAGGCACATCTGAACAATGCAAGTGTCTGTTCCGGGCATCTTATTGAATATTCTAATTTGAGCCTATGAATAACCTGGTTACTACCCACCTACTGCGTGTGTGTTGTGTGTGTTTTTGTTGTCATGAAAGTGCTTAATTCCTTTATTGCATTACTTAATTATAGTTCATTTATTTCATCAGCTGCCAAGCCCATTTCCAAATGAGCTAGGTCAGTTTCTGTTTTCCCAGTCTGTTTAGATACTTCTCTGCCACTAGGAGAGTTCCTGTTTGAAGTTCTATATAGTATCTCTATACTCTGTTCAAGTACTCAGATCCTATTGTTTCATTCCAAAGCATATGGGGGAAAAAAAGGCAGGGCCACCTGTTATTTCTGAAGTTGCCTTTCCCACCCACCCCCCGAACAAAAGATTACCTAGAAATGTTTTTCTCAAATCTGTCTCTCAACAAAAAGGAACATTTAGTTTGGATTTTAGAATACTATAATTTTTTATAGAATTTATATGGATTTATGATTATGGGAGAAAATTCCACCCTCCATTCTCAATGTATGCTGATTTAAGTTTTGCTACACATACATTGATTTGACTACTTATAAATTTTGTAAGTGTTTGATATCGGTGTTCTTGTTTAATGGATTGGAAAACTGACCTAAGTTCACATAGAAAGGGAATGTTACACTGAAGTTCATATCTAGGTTTACTAGCACCTTTAGCCTACTGAACATTAAGTAAAAGGGCAAAGATATCCCAAAATGGGTAGCAATTCTTTGAATAATTATAATTTCAGAGCTAAAGTATCATTTCTAATTTTATGATTTTCCAGAAAAAGCAGACATTTTTATTTTGAGTTCTGCAATTATGTTTAAGTGCTCTTGATCTAAAATCAAATATTTTCATCCATGTTCAAAATGGGTTTTTGAGCATGATCCTGAATGACATCTCCTAGACAATTTGCTCTGACCTCATCACACAAAGGGTGAGAATTAAGCAGAGTAAACATTCTTTCTTGAAAATATGAGAAGCATGAATCTCTGTGAAACAATGGGCTAGGCTCCGATCCTTTCTGTTGACCCTGAGAGTTTATGAGCTATCTGAGTCTTGGCACAACCTGAGATGACACATCTGGGCAGAAAGCATGATGACAGGCCTCTCCTGTCTGGATTTTGACCCAAGTACCCCAGTTGCCCTCTGCATCTTCTTGCCATGTGAGCAGCTTGGGTAATTGTAATAATGTCTGGTTCAGTGCTGGAACCCAAATTCAGGAGGTGGGAAGAGAACCAGCAGTTAGCAAATACCTGCCATGAGCCAACCATGCTTAGTTTTAGGTGCTTTACTCCCATCTATTCATTTGTTCCTTAAAATCACTGTACAGGATAGATAAGAGTAGCCACCTTTTGACAGATGCAGAAACTAAGATTCAGTGAAGTTAAATACTTTATGAGGAAGGAGAGATAGAAAACAGAAAGGTCACTCTTTAACAATGTGCAAGGTGGGTCTCAGGGTTAGTGGGAGCATAGTCAAAATAACAGGTTCAAATGGAGAGGCTCCAGAGTTGTCTGGGATTACCCCTGGGTTTAGAACATATTCTAGGGACAGTGGGTGTACCTGAATGAACTTCCTGACTCTTGATGCAAAATCAGGCCCAGAAAACATGTGACTGTTCTCTCAACCTGTGCTCAAACGTGTTACATCTTCAGTGTTCATGCTTTTATCAACATAGTTTTAGATGTGACTTGCATTATAAAGTAGCCATTGAAGTCAGTTGGCTGGCTTTGAAGGTATATAATAAACATGGAGAAGGACATCTCTTTTTAAAATTCCTTATATCTTTTTATATATTTGTGAATTGAACCTAGCATGGATAAGGGACCAAATTGGAATCTATAGCCCATTCCTTTTAATACTGAGAAAGTTGAAATATTTCTTTGGTCAAAAAAAAAGAAAAAACAACTTCAAGTCCAAGACTCACATAATCACCTTTGAAAAATTGAACTTGCATGTTTTATTTCCAGTTCTGTGAAAGAATTCCTATTTCCTGACAAGACATGCAAATGTCAAGTAAGAAATCCTCTTCCAAGAGACTATAAATGAAGGTGTGGTTTCCTCATCCCTCAGCCTGCACTCTGAGAATAGGCTTATGCAAATTATCTATTAATGTGGCTGTAACTGCTGTTGGGAACATTCCATTGAACAATAGGAAGCTCCCCAAAGCTGTAATATGCAAGATCCTCAGGGAGGAGCAGCCTGACAGCCATCACCTTGGTATGGCAATGTGATTCTGGAACCTTTGAAAAAATGAGGTAATGTGACAGACTCAGTGTCCTCTGGCCATGCAGTTCATGTAAGACTGGGTGTCTAGTTACAGGGCAGCTAAAGGTTCAATGGCATTCCAGGTTAAAGTAATGATTTAATTAACTAGGATACTATTTTTAATACACAGGATGATTTGGTACTTATTCAGAAAAAAACGTTAGCCCTTAATCTCTTAGGTCACAATTCTGCAGTTTTGAATTTGAGGCATGAAAGTGATTGGCTCATGTGCACACACACACACACACATATGTCAAAACTTTATAGTTTCAAATTAAGAGGTTTGGTGTATCAAAGTCAGATTTCATGACCCAGTTGTTTTATTTCATACTTCTGGAATGATTTCTTTCTCTCTGAGCTTGAATTTTCTCATCTGTAAAATGGAAATCATAAATCTATCTTGCTAGGTTATTGTGTGTAGCTTTAAGAGAGTGGATGATATTAGGAAATGATATGAAGCATTTTTCAAATTACAGCGATCATCATTATCATCATCTAAGTGCTTTCTAATGAAAAGCCTCATCTGATTCTTACAATGATGATAATTCAGCCAGGTAAAGTATTATTGTTTCCATTTTTTAAGTGAATAAATAAGAGGGAGAAAGGAGACACAGGACATACACTGTACATAGGTCTCCTCATTTGAATGTACTGTACCCCAAATCACTCTCCCCTTTTGATGAAAGTTCTCATCCTTCAAGACTGAAGGAAAGTGTCCCTTTCTTAGACACACACCCTCCTACTGCACTCCACTCATTCCTCTGGTTATGCCCTTGTCACAGCACACTGTAAGTATGTATCTAAGCAAGGTTATGGAATCATAATGAAGACAGTGGGTTGTTGAACACCACTGCATGTTTGTTGGATGGACGATTAGATGGATACTTTTTCAGAGTTTTCACTGCTATGTTTTGACTCAACCAGTTGTTCTTTAAAAATGTATTTGAGAAGGAAAATACTTCAAGATTAAGCAGTACTTTAAAAAAAATTCAATTGCATTGTTTCTGATTAAGTCTAATAATTTTCCTTCCCTCTTCTTCACATTTCTGGCTCTTATTATAGCCTGTATTCACTGATAGTAGGCTTACCAAAATTCAAGTATACCTGCACTGTGTGTGTATGGTGGGGTGAGGAGAGAGAGCAAGAGAGAGAAGGAGAGAAGAGAATTACTGAGCAGTGATATGACCGAATGATGGCTAGCCAGTAGAAGAAAAAGAAGTACTGTTTTATAAATGAAAAGAAGCAAAATAATCTAATTCAAACTCCATTTCCCCCACACCCTATCTCACTTCCTGGTCTCTGTTTGCAGAGATAAGGAATTTCAATTGCAGGTGAATAAAATAAGTATCAGAGGTAGAACAGGATTCCATATCTCACAAGTATAGTGCAGGGTTGCTCAGCTTTGCCTCTACTGACTGACTGAAATTCTTTC